ATTTTACTATCATTAGATTCGTCTTATTGAGACGATTCCAATGAGCTATATTTCATTTTTTTCTGATCATTGAATCAAAAGTTAGCAAACTGCCTGATTGGTGACGGTATTTGGCGAAAATGCCAATTGTCACCAATCAGTCACCAATCGGTTACCAATCAGCTACCTAATTGGTGACCAATTGGTGACTGATTGATGTCTGATTTTTTACTTTTTGACCTGTGTTGTTTACCTAAATTAGCAATTTAATTTTCACTATATTCAACTTGCTGTTGATTAATAGCAAATTCTTTACACTTTCCATATTTCTTAATAGTATTATCTGCAACTATCCAAATATCAAAATGACATCCAATAGGCAATTCTAAAGGGTTAGTTATTATAAATATTTCAGAATTAAATAAAGTTATTACTGTTAATGTTTCAAATGTACAATATACAAAATTGCTTTATTAATGAAAGTTAATAAAACCAAATAAAATTTCACAAGAATATAGCAATTTTGATCGATTTCACTTTCCTTTATAAGTATTTCCAAATCAAAAAAGTTATCATATTTACTGATTTGCGGAATTTGCCAATTATTAGTTATGTAGCACAGTATTGATTAAAATCGATCAAAATCCATTTCTACATAAGAAAAAATATTAAAAAATATATAAAAAAAACTTTTAAGACCTCTTCCAAAATATTTACTTCTTTAACCCAAAACCAGTAAAAGAAATTTCTAGAAAAAAAAGGAAAAAAATATTATAAAGTTAGTTTATTANAAAAAAAAAGAAAAACTTTACAAAATCCAGAATATTTAATGATTTAACGAAAAAAAATTAACTGAAAAATAATTAATAATAAATATCAAATAGATTTTAATTAAACAACTAGTAATTAATATATAATCTAAATTTGCTAAAACATTGTTATTAATATTTAGAGTTATTTATTTATTAAAATATTTTTTTTAAATAATTTTGCTTTCTAAATAAATTTTTTCTATAAACTATAAAAATAAAAATAAAAAAACAGCTTCAAGTTGTATCTAATATAAAATAATTACTAATATACTTGCAAAAATTCTCAACTTACTTAATGTAAAAATTGGTTGAAAAGTTGATGGGAAAGTTGATAGGAAGTTTAATAAGGAGTTTATGAAAGAAAAAAATTTTTTAACACTACTTTTTTGTTGAAGTAATTTCTTGATATCTGTCATATGATTATGTAGTACAAGTGTGATCATTTTTGTGAAACTTAATTTACCTAATTTTTATTAAATTATTGTCAAATTCCTTAATTCAAACAAATTTTGTTAATTCCACAGATTGGCAGATATGTCAATGATAAGATTTCAAGTATATAATATACTATATATGCCACTCAAATTATTTTGGACTGCTGTAATTATAAGTAAAATTCCAAATTCAATTATGACATCCCAAATTATTTTAGCACTTTACATAGTAAATTATATATAAACTGAATAAATTACGACATCCCAAATTATAATTATGGCATACCAAAATAATTTGGACAGCATGTACAGTATATAATATATAAAATTGAAATTTTCTAATACTAATAAAACTAAAACAAAATCTAATAAAGCCAAAGTAAAGTCTAGTAAAACTAAAGTAAATTCTAACAAAACTAAAGTATAATTTAATGAAAAAAGCAACTGTTTGTTCACAACTCATCATATATAACAACAAGACTAGTCAAAAAAAATTAAATACAGTAAATAAAGACAATTTTAAATACTACACTTGTTTGTAATAGGCTTTTTAAGATTCTAATAATGGAAAAAAAATTATCTGGCAGGTATTACAAAAAAGAATAACACATCATTAGTAATAAATAATGATTATCGTATGATGGTTCACAATTTTCAATTATAAAAATTACTTTTTATATGGGATAGTTATAATGTAAAGATGCGCTAAAAATTAAAATTAAAAATTATTACTATTTAGTTTAGTCAATAATGAAACTGAAATTAATTGATAATGAAATTGAAATTTTTAGCAAAAAGAGTTTAGCCAGATATCAGAAAAAAAAAATTTGTCAAATAAGTCAAAAATAACATTTAAAGCCATTTTTAATATTTTAAATAAACTTGCAAAGCAGATAAAAAAATATATAATATTATATATTTTTTAATAAAATCTGTATATTAAGAATTTTTTTTTTAATTATTGCAGTGTATTTTGCAATTTTATTAAAGTAAAAGTAATAAAAAAATATATATAAAAGCAATATTACTAAATTACAAACCTTTTATCATATATAATAGTACTTTATATAATTATATCCAATAAGTAGATTTTATTTGAGTAAGTCATTTTTAGCTATATAGCAGTATTAGCATTTGACTGTAACTAAGCTAATTTATTTGGCTATTAGTCAATTTAACAGATCAGCCAAAAACAACAGCCAAAATTAGCAGTTAAAATACTATTAGAAATTAATTATAATCAAATTTTTTTGGCTAAGATTTACAAATAATATTAATATAATGTTAAAAAATTATATTATCTTATATCTAAAATACAAATATTTTAAAATGTTATTTAATTGTAAATCTTTTATTGAAATATTACCAGAAAATTTTAAAGTTATTAAATTTTATTATTTACTTTATTTAAATATATAAATATTTTGGCTAATTATAACCAGTTAAAATTTAAATTTGGCTATTTTGGTCATGGCCAAATGGCTAAATGGCCAATAGCCAATCTTAGCCAAATGGCTAAAGTGCTAACACTGCTATATAGTATAAGGCCAAGACCCCAAATAATACTAATATAACTCACAAGTAAATTTTAAGTATCAAAGTAAAAATACATTTTATGACATAACTCTATCAATATTGAAGTTAGGAATTCGATTTTACTATCATTATAATCTCCTCATCGAGACAAATCCAATGATATAAATTTCATTAAAATTGAAATACTGGTTGTGTTAAAATCAGGGGTTTGTAGGATAATAAAATTTTGAAAATACCCCTGTAATATGCAACTTTGAAAAATTTTAATATAAACTCTACACAAACTCAAATGTGAGTTGTATCAGTATTGTTCAGGGTCCTATAAGGCCCTACTTTTAACATTATTAAGCATTATAAAAAAGCATTTGTTTATATAATAAAATATTTATTTGTTGCTAAAAATAATTATTTAATGGAATTTTTAATACTTACTGCATTATTTTCTCATAAAATATATTTACTTTAATACTGTAATTTTATTAAAAATAATTCAAGAATTTTTTGACTTTTTAAATTATTACTATGTAAATAATTGCAAAAAATTATTAACCAAACTTAAATATACTAATATAGTTTAATATAACTTGTGCTTGAATTTTATTAATTTTTATTGCAAGTTACTTTAGAGAATACCAGGTATTCAAGAAAGAATTACAACAAAGTGCAGAACTAACTAATACAAGAACAAATAATCTTCCAAAAAATACATAAAGAGAAAAGTTAAAATTATTAACCCCTACTCTCTATATAAATAATAATAGTTACCCTTTCTTCCAAGTAATATTTCATATAAGGTAGAATCGATTATGCTATATGTAATCCATTTAGTAGATCAGCACCTTACCCATTTCTAGAATCAGTCTAATACTTCTAAACTACCATTAGCACCATTAAAAACGCATAAAATTCAATTTTCTCTATTTAACTACATACTATGGATAACAAATTTACTTTATAAAAGTCTTTAGTAACTTTTTAATGTCATGCAATTCCAACAGGGATACCCACCTCATTTTGAACGATCTATTGACCTAAGATCTACCTAAATAAATCAAACCAATAATAGTCCAACATGTAATCAACTTGATCAGCATATTACAAAAACTGCGGTATTCAACTAACCTGTCACCTTCCTTATCACCCGAATGATCATTGATTTTGAAAATGTAATACCAAGTTACCATGACAATCAAATTTTCCAGTATTTTTCCACCCCTCAAAGAAAATAAGATTATGCCAAAAAAAGTAATCAAGAAAAATGAAAAACAAAAAATAAAGTTATAAATCTCAGAAAAACTTGAAGTGCAATGAGAAAAACCTAAGTAAAAAATACCAAATAAAGTATACACCTCAACTCTGTCTTTTTATATTAGAAGACCAACTTCCCATTAATAAATATCAACTAGTAAGAAATATATTGGTCAATAAGCTTTTTTCAAGAAATAACAGTCCAGCCTGCTAATCACTTGGCTAGTTAGACTTTAAAGGCGTAAGAACTAAGACGCATTACTTTTTAACCTTTCAGAAAGCCCAGAGGAACATTTGTATGGAACTGCCATCTTACATTATTGTTGGTAACTCCAAGACTCATAATAATGGTTCTAACTCAATATAAGCCATAAGAAGTTCAGGTGAAACCAAAGACCTCAATAATAACTTCATAAAACATCTAAAAGTCCTTGTACTGTCACTCAAGGCAAAAAGTCCTTATACTTTTCATCCAAAACTTCTTGGGAAAAAATGGGCAGAGCCCAATAGAAAAGAAAGTATGATGATCACTTTAAATGTACTAATATATAAAACCCAGTGGTAAATTAAAAATAGTTTTAATTTGCATATTTCAACTTCATCTGATTTATAACTGAATTCTTGTTGGAGATTATATATATTTCAAGTGCATTAGTTTTTTTAAATATATTTTAATTATATTAAATTTGTTCAATTCAACCTGTAAAATTATTTTCATTTAAATAATATAGCAGCAAAACCTACATGCAATAAAAAAAGGGTATATTCTTTTATTTCAAGTTTTTAATATTATAAAAAGTTGATAAACTGATTTTTCAAAAGATTCAATAAAATTGGTTGCTTCCTATAGGTATTAAGAAGATTCATCTTTATTAGTAATACAAAAACAGGCTTGAATAATTTGTAAATCATTCTATTGGTAGAATTATTGAATTGGTTGATAATATTTCTTAATTAAAGCTATTAATTATTTTATCAAAAAAAAAAAAAAAATAGAAAGCTGCTTTTAGACTAAAGAGCAAATTTATTTTAGAGAATGTAGAAAAATAATAATCACACGGTTCTGGGTATAACGTAATAATTTCATGAGGAGTGGAACAGCAATGTTTTTTCTTTCGGGAAAAAACCCTGATTATTCTCAAACTATATAATATAGAAATATATGTAAATAGGGGGCACAAGTAAGACTTACATTCTAAGTATAGACAGGGATGCCTTGCTCGAAGTATATTTGGTTGACTACAGAAAACCAAGTTCAGTCTATCCGTCAATCAGCTATTTTTCCGGAGTGATATTAATAAACGTGACGTAAAAAAAAAATAAATTTCTGATCATAAATCGATTTTATATTTTATTTAAATAATTACCAGTTTAAAATTCTTTTGAAAGAAAAAATGAGTACTTATATATTTCGAGCGGGTGGAAATCATCTTAGAATGACAAATGTTTACATAAGTACTGTCAAACAAGGGTTTTATTTAACTAGATCTTGTTCATACCTTACTAATAGAAATATCAGACCTATAGAGAGAAATGGTAAAAGTAATTTTAGTAAACTAGTAACACCAAAAAGTGCAAAATTTTTTAATATTGAAAGAAGTAACTTTTTAAGATTATACGCTACTGAAACAAACCAACCATTTAGTAAAGAGAATAAAGGGAATGAAAAAAAAACCGAAAATAATGAAGAATCTAAAAATTCCGATAAAGAAAAAAGGAGTTATAGCGATAGTGAAATTAAGATTCCCAAAGGATTTGAGAATTTTTTTAATAAAAAATCACAAAGATTGAAGCAAAATGTTAAAGAGCAAGCACCAAAATCTACTCAAAATAACTATAAAAGTGAACAAAAACAATCTTCAAAACAACCTCAAAATGTTAAAGATTTTAGTATGCAATTAAATCTTAATACATTACTTCCACTTTTGTTCTCCGCATATATTCTGTATAAGATTACCAGCGGTGTTGATAATTCTCGTGAGATCACATGGCAGGAATTTAGAACAACATTTTTAGATAAAGGTTTAGTGGATAAATTGGTAGTAATTAATAGGAAAAAAGTTCGAGTACATTTACATTCAAATGCTACAGGGCAAATGTATCCAAACGCTCCTTCTTTACCCGGAACAACTTATTATTTTAGCATAGGATCCGTGGAAGCATTTGAACGTAAGTTAGATGATGCTCAAAAAGAATTAGGAATTCCTTCCACAGAACGTATTCCAGTAGCATATCATGATGAAATTAGTTTGATGAATACACTATTACACTTTGCTCCAACATTACTTTTGGCTGGAGCATTATTTTATATTACCAGAAGAGCTGGTGGTGCAGCCGGATCACAGATTTTCGGAATTGGAAAATCTAAAGCTAAATTATTTAATCAGGAAACAGAAGTCAAAGTTAAGTTTAAGGATGTAGCTGGTATGGATGAAGCCAAAGAGGAAATAATGGAATTTGTTAAATTCTTGAAAGATCCGACTGCTTATGAAAGATTGGGTGCTAAAATACCAAAAGGTGCCATTTTAAGTGGTCCTCCAGGTACCGGTAAAACTTTGCTTGCAAAAGCTACTGCGGGTGAAGCTGGTGTCCCATTCTTAAGTGTATCAGGATCTGAATTTGTTGAAATGTTTGTTGGTGTTGGTCCGTCTAGAGTACGTGATTTGTTTGCAAACGCGAAAAAACACGCACCTTGTATAATATTTGTGGATGAAATTGACGCAATTGGAAAATCAAGGGGGAAGATAGGCCAATTTGGTGGAAATGATGAACGTGAGAGTACGTTAAATCAATTACTCGTAGAAATGGATGGGTTTGGTTCTAGTGAGCATGTTGTTGTTTTAGCTGGTACTAATAGACCGGATGTATTAGATCCTGCTTTAATGCGTCCAGGACGTTTTGATCGACATATTTCCATTGATAAACCAGATATTAAAGGCAGAAGTGCAATATTCAAAGTACATTTAAAACCAATAAAAACCGGGGAAAATATTAATAACCTTTCAAACAGATTAGCCGCGCTGACACCAGGATTTTCTGGTGCCGATATAGCTAATGTGTGTAATGAAGCAGCTCTTATTGCAGCTCGTTATCAAAAGGATTCAGTTACTGAGGAACATTTTGAGCAAGCTATTGACCGTGTAGTCGCAGGCTTGGAAAGAAAATCTCGTGTATTATCACCCGAAGAGAAGAAGACTGTGGCATATCATGAAGCGGGACATGCAGTTGCCGGATGGTTCCTTGAGCATGCCGATCCTTTATTAAAAGTTACAATTATTCCTCGAGGTGTTGCCGCGCTTGGTTATGCTCAATATTTACCAAAAGATCAATATTTATATTCCACAGCACAATTATTGGATCGTATGTGTATGACATTGGGTGGAAGAGTGTCGGAACAAATCTTTTTCAATATCATAACTACAGGAGCACATGATGATTTACAAAGAGTCACCAAGTTGGCTTATGCTCAGGTTACAACTTATGGTATGAATCCGAATGTAGGGCCATTATCTTTCAATAGTCCTAATGATAATGAACCTCAATTCCAAAAACCTTATTCTGAAGAGACTGCTAAAATGATCGATGAAGAAGTTCGTAAATTGGTAGCGTCAGCGTATGAAAGAACTGTAAAATTGCTTACAGATAAAAAAAATGATGTTGAAAAAGTAGCACAATTGTTACTATCGAAAGAAGTATTAAATCGAGACGATATGATATCATTATTAGGGAAAAGACCTTTTGTTGAAAAGAACAATTATGAAGAATATTTTAATCCTAAAGAAAATACACCACCACCCCCATCCGCTGAACAATCGCAGTCATCATCAAATGCATAGTTTTTTAAATGATTAATATTTAGTATATCTAAAATATATTACTTAAATGTATGCAAATCACTTTTGCTAATTAAATTATTTATCTTTGAATGTGAAGTATCTTTATGTAATTTATAAGCCGTGAAATTTGAGATTATCATTCCCACCTATTTTTTTAATTGATTTAGTTTCCCCACTTCATTCCGTCTCTTCATTAGCTCGACTATAAAAAAAAAAATTTGTTTAACTTCGCCTTTCTTTCTAACGTTAAGCGGAATTGTAGGTTAATTTTGATTGAATTACATGTTAAATTAGATTCGTTTATGTCATTACTCACTATTATAACCTTTTATTTTTTTTGTGAAAAAGTGAAAAAGTGAACTGTCAATGTAATCGAAATGATCGTTATAGATATAGGCTATTTAAGCGTGATAAGCAATGAGGTGAATGAGAGAATGGAGTGTTCGTTTATTTTTGTATCATACACTGGTAAATAGATACAATATACATTAGTCAATTTAACATCTTAGAGTAAGAAAAGTAAGAACTAACTACTACATATATTGTTTATACAGTTGAAACTCGTGTAAATACATGATAATTTATCTCATGTATTGTTATGTATTATTATCTCATATTAACTATAATATTTTCATTCAACTTACCATTCCAAAAAATATTTTACAAATAATCATCAATTAGAAGTTTGCCGAAGGACACATTTTTTTAACGGGACAGTTGGAACATTTTGGGTATTGTGGGAAGCATGTAGTTTGTCCAAATCCAACAAGCATCGGGTTTATTTCATACCATAATGATCTTGGAAGCCAAGACTCTAATAACTTTACATTACAATAAAGTATTATTAACTGAAAAAGTTTCAACATGATATGCAAAAATATTTTTGATTTTTACCTTTCGAGTGGCTTCTGGACCAGCTTTTTCTGTATTACACCAACCAAGACGATTCGTTATTCGGTGAACATGAACGTCAACACCTATGCCTTCATTTCTGATAATAAATTCGTAAAATAATTTTACAAATTGATATATATTAATCTAAAATCGATCAAGATTGCTTACTGTTTCCAAGCAACTTGCATACAAAGATATGCCTGTGATTTCATATAAAATTTTTTTAGACAGAAAGTTTATTACAAAATAACATTCTAAATTAATATAAACCATCTTTGGTCCAACTCCAGGCAATTTCTTTAAACCTTCAACAGTATTTGGTATATCACCGCCATATTCTTCTTTACATATTTTAGCTGATTGTTTAAGATATCTGAAAAAGGATCAGATCATGAATAATTTGTTAAATAGCAGAAAATAAATCTTCCGTACTTACGTGGCTTTTTTGCGGTGAAATCCTACTTTAGAAATGCATTCATCCAAGAATTTTTCATTAGCTTGTATCATGCTATCTAAGTTTAATCCTCCTGGAAGTTTCTGGCGAAGATTTTGAACTGCAGCGGCAGTAACATGATCTTTGGTTTGTGAAGAAAGCATCAAAGATACAAGGGTCTGAAATCTTGATGTCTAAAAATATTAAAATTTTCGTTCAATGTATATTGTTACAATATAATTTACTATAATAAATAAGCACCTGTGGTGTAATATTATCAGATGGCTCATCAGCCAACCTTTCACATCCCATTGTATCTACAGGAGCTATGATGTTTTTGCGATATTCTTTTATAGCATTATATACTTCTTCCCAGCCGACTGGCGGAATTGGTGGTTCCTTATCAAATCTCTTTTCTAAAGTATTCGCACTTATATTGATCGAAGACTCTTCTGCTTCAATATTGGTATGTTTACGAGCTGTTTTAAGTGTCACTGTTTTACTTAATGAAGAGGACTTGTTAAGTTTGTTTGTTTCGATAACGCTTGTTTTCGAACTGAAATATTTTGAAGTTGTGCTCGAAGAGATGGTCTCAGTATAATTTACAAAATCTGTTGCTAATTTATTTCTTGTTTTTGGCATTTTTCTTTTAAGTGAAGGTGACGCATTCCCAAAATTTTTTTACTTTATGTCATGATTGTAGTGATGCAAGATCATGCAGTGTAACGCAATTGTTTTTTTGCTGATAAAAATTTATTTTATCGCTTTAGCTTTGTAAATAAAAATGGAGTTCAAAGATCTAGATCCTAGACTTTCTCGTGCTTTATCAAAACTCAACTTTCATAAGCCAACTTTAATTCAAGCAAAAGCCATCCCGTTGGCGTTGGCGGGAAAAGATATTTTGGCGCGGGCCCGTACCGGAAGCGGAAAAACTGCTGCTTATTGTCTACCTATAGTTCAAAAGATCTTGGTTAACAAAGAAGTAAGTAGTAACTTTCATCCAATTTAAGCTTGAGATATATCCACATCCCTTAATAACTTAGTACGCTAAAGTAGCCAACTTGCTCTGATACCCTTTTTTATATTCAAAACTAGAATTTACAGAGTGAGGACTAAATTATAATATTATTCAAGTTTTCAGTTTTTTTTACTCATGTATTTATTTGATAAGAAGTAACTAAAATAAAAATTATTTCGATGACTTTTATACCCAGGCTTTACCAGAATCTTCTTCAGAACGTATCACAACGCGTTCAATCATCTTAGTCCCTACTCGAGAACTTGCTGTTCAAATAACGAAATTCTTGAGTGATTTATTAATATATTGCTCAAAGGATGTGAAAGTCGCCAACCTGGCTGGTAACATTCCTGTGCAATTACAAAAGTAATTTTAATTTTATATTAACTGTTAATTATTTCATTTATACATTTATTCTGTAATAAATTAATAATTTGTTCTTCTAAAGGTCAATATTACTAGAAAAGCCGGATATAATTGTCGCAACACCGAGTCGTGCATTAGCACATCTCGAATCACAAGTATGCTGACAAGAACAAACTTTATACAAATTAATAACTATCATTTATACTTATAATAAATCCTTTTTTAAGTCTTTAATCGTTTACAATAGTCTAGAGTCACTTGTTATCGATGAAGCAGATCTTATTCTCTCATATGGTTATGAAGAAGATCTTCAAAAGATTTTGACATATCTTCCAAAAATATTTCAAAGCTTATTGATGAGTGCAACACTGACGAAGGTTATATATATATATTTCTCAATTTTAATCATTTCACTTATTAAATTTACTTTTCTTCTTTCCTCTTAGGATGTTGAAAATTTAAAACAACTTTTATTACGAAATCCGGTATATAATTGTTTATTCTACATTATTATAATTTAAGCTATATCAATCAACTATCTTACTTTTCATTAAATGAAGGCTATTCTAACGCTACATGAGGAAAAGGAAGACAATCTATTAACACAATACGCCGTGAGGTATTATTAATGCTCGATAGATTTTTAGATTTTATCATTATTTTTATTAAGATTATAATGTTTTTATTCTTATATTAGATGTTCGGAAATGGATAAGTTTCTTTTGATATATGTTATATTGAAACTTCGGTTAATTCATGGAAAATGCATAATATTTGTTAATGACATTGATCGATGTTATCGACTGAAATTATTTTTAGAACAATTCTCAATAAAAAGTTGTGTTTTGAATTCAGAATTACCCTTAAATTCTAGGTAGATAAATTTTGCATTCTAAACAATTAATAAATTATTAATAGTGTTTCGACTAATCTTAATTATATATTAGATATCATATAGTACAGGAATTTAATAAGGGGGTTTATGATTATATTATTGCAACAGATGAAGGAGATTTTAAAAGTGAACAAGATACTGATGACGAATTGGACGAATTGGACGAAGAAGAATTTGAAGGCATGTAGACTATAATTATCTATACTTTTCTTATGAACATTAGTTTACTGATAATTATTTAATTAATATAGATTCAGAATCAAATGTGGATGAAGAAGTTCAAACGAGTAAAAAATCAACATCTGAAAATAAAAGCAAGAAAAAATTGCGATTACAAAAGAAAGATAAAGAATATGGAGTATCTCGTGGTGTTGATTTTATAAATGTGGCAGCAGTTATTAATTTTGATTTTCCAACTTCAGCAAAATCTTATACTCATAGGGTAGGGCGTACTGCTCGAGCTAATCAGAGAGGAATGAGTTTAAGTTTTGTTGTTCCCAAAGAACTTGTCGGACAGAACAAGAATGTTACGTGTTCAACAGCAAAACAGGATGAAAAAATTTATTCTCGTGTAGAGAAAAAACAATCTCTTACAAATTCTGTAATAAAACCTTATTCATTTGAAATGAAGCAATTAGAGGGATTTCGTTATCGTGTGGAAGATGCATTGAGGGCGGTTACACGTATTGCTGTTAAAGAAGCACGGTTGAAGGATGTTAAATCAGAAATATTGAATTCTGAAAAATTAAAGGTATAAATTATAATTTAAAATTTGTAATGGGGTTTTATTTAAGATAAAGAGCTAATTGTTTATATATATTATATTTAAGGCGCATTTTGAGGATAATCCTAATGATTTAAAAATTTTGCGTCATGATACTACAATTCATCCGGCAAGAGTTCAACAACACATGAAACATATACCTTCTTATTTAATGCCAAAAATTGCACCACCTTCTGGCGTTAGTTCTACACAAGAGGATAACGAAGATTTAGGGTCTATCCCTTTTCGTAAGAATCCACCAAAACGATTATCCAAGAATCGCCATAAGGTATTTTGAAATTTTTCATCAAATTATGCATTTTATCTTTTATTAAAGAAATAAATCTTAATTAATATGTAAAATAGAAACGCAAAAATGATCCTTTAAAAACTTTTAGAATTAGTGATACCTTTTCAACTAATAAAAGACAGGTAAAAAATTAACTTTTTTTTAACATATATAAATAATTTGCAATAATTTTAATTTTTATTCATCGATTTTTTATAGAGGAAGAAATGATTGTAATAAAGAAATATAATTTTTTTAATATCATTATCTAATACAATAAATGAAATATTAAAAATATTTCAATTATATATAATACATATATAAGCCCGGAAAAATAAGAAAATTTTAAAGTCCATTTAAACTACAAGCTTTTTGGAGTGTACATATATATTATGTTCTTTCCATTCACCCATTCATTTACTTCATATAACTCATTACTACTAAACACCAGTACCTCCAGTGAGTTTACTAGAAACATGATTCTGATGTTTAAGTGCAGCTATACCATAACAAATTCCAGCAATAGCTAAACTTAAGCCAGGCATGACGTAAAATGCTGATTTTGTTACAAATATAAAAATTACAACGGAGAACCTGTTTTTTTGAGATCAGAAAAATTGTCAATCAAATCTTCTTTAATTAAAGAACATATATCTAACTTACGCTAAATATCCTATAGTTCTAATTAGGTTATTCTCAAATATCCTAATGAATGCATCACTAAAAAAACAAATCCATTAGTGAACGTAAAATTATGGGAATTTACATAAAAGGAACTTACAAATTCTGGCTTGTCGGACAGATCTAAAAAAAAAAAATTTATTAAAATTAAGTATCACACTTAAACTCTGATAAAAAAACTCACCTTCAAACAGAATGGCACTTCAATAAATATAAGAATAAAGGCTAAAATCCTATATAAAATCATTAGAAAAAATATATTTTCAAATATGGAATAATTAAGATAGATAGAAAGAAATACCATGCAATAATTGCAAAAACGACGAATGTAAGGAAAGCAAGGCCACCGGCAAGGAAAAGGACTGAAAAATAGCAAAAAATAATAAATTAATATAACAACTAAATAAAAAAGAAGAAACCTAACATTTCAACAATTATTATGATATAAATATTTACAAGGTATAGAAAGTATACCAGCCCTTTTAATAGAAATAAATAAATAAATAAATAATACGTTTATGAAATATATTCAAAGCATTATACATGAATTCATGTGTAACTTACCATTGAGCATAAATCGAAAAGTTTCTAGATTTGAATTCTTCTATAAAACCCATATTTTTAAAGACGTAAAGAATTTAAAGAATTATAATAATAATTGCCCGAACATTTAATTATTCCACGTGTATGTAACGTAATTTTACTGAAATTGTATTATTCACGTGATAAGATGTACAATTATATATTGAGGAGCCATTGTTGTGAACGATTTTCCACTTCCACGTGATTTTTGTTGCGTTTAAAATTTAATTGGCTCAATTGAGTTGGTTAACATTTAAAAAAAGAGAAGATATTTTTTCTTAAAATATTATATAAAATGAAAATTATTTTATTACTTTTACTTAAAAAATAGCTCTCTCACACTTTATTAAATTTAATAAACAAATGAATAAACCCTTCTTAAAGACAATAAAAAATTCAAATATTTCATAAATACTCAAACTAGTTTGATTAATTTGATAAAAATTAATATATAGACAGTTCTTCGCCTGCTGAATAACATTACTTAATCTCTAAAGACTTGTTTTATTTAACAAAAGTACCAAAATTACGCTATAAAGTGAAAATACCACCCGCGCGTGGCACAGTAATTCCATACAAAAATATTAATATATTTCAAGATATTTTGATAAAAATTAATATTCATATCCGCCGAATAGCATTATTTAAGCTTCCCAGACCTACTTCATTTAACTAAAGTATCAAAAATTATGCTATAAAATTAAAAATAAATGTAAACAATTAATTTATTGATACTTTTTCACAAATATTTAAGCAATATCAATAAATAAATATTTCCATACCTGTTAAATCATAACTACTTAGCCCACTCAAGTCTGTCATTACGCGTTTAATGTAAAGAATTTTTAAAACTATTTAAAGCTTGATCGCTCCACACACAAGTCACGTGGGGTGGGAAAGTGACGGTGATACGGAAGGATTACAAGGGTCACGAGGATCACAAATATCGTCACGTGATAAATCACATGAAAAAGAAGATTACGTAAAAAGATTTCATCTTTCTTTTGCATCTAATCAATCAAAAATATTATAAAAATATATTTAGGGAACAATATTGAAGCTTATCAAAAGATCATTTTATGTAACATTAAGGATGGCTGTTTGTTGATTCATGTTAACATGTGGATCAAAAGAAGCACTTTTTTTAGTGGTTCAGTTCGAAATTTGTTTGTACAAAATATTTGGCTATGTTCTTTTCTAACATAAGCCTGAGTCAAGATATTTGTAATCACTCCTGAGTAACAATTAGTTTTGTTAACTATATTTGACTAATTAAATTATGATTGGATATCATCTATCCGAAATGGGTTACAAATATGTTATCTCATGTATATCAAAAACCACACGATAATATGAACAACAAACAAAACTTGCATTGTTTAAATCTAAAATTAATTGTTTATTTGTATTTTTAATAAAGGTTTTTAAAAAAATCTTTTTTATATATATATATTTTTTTATAACTTTATTTTTTTTTTACTTGATCTAAACAAATTTGGCAACCAACAACATCACTTTCGATTAGCAAACAATTTCTTGGTTTGTGAACGATTACGACCAGTTTTTTTTTGAAAAAATTTTTTCTTTTCTTTTTAATAATTATTAAAAAAAAAAAAATTTATAACAAATATAATATTTAAGATGCAAATAAAAATTAGAGTGTAACTTACCTTAAAATAATTTGAAAAATTTCTAGCAAAAATACTTTGACAATTTAACGTGAGACAAGACACCATTATTATCATTTTTATGACGGAGGATGAAATCCGGCGTAAAAATGGAGAACGGTAATGCAGAATAATCAATAATCATATGTGCATGAAATATTTTTATGTTTAGGTCTTCACAATTTCAATAGTGATATCATAATATTCATCATCTTCCAAAATCTCTATATAATTTTGACTTAAACCTGAAAAAATCGTTTAACATTTCTCGCGCAACACAAACAAAAAAAAAAATAAGGTTACGAATATATGAAAATGAACAACTGACAGATGTAATCCTTTTTATGAGCCTAGGGCCTAGGCTAATACTTTATCCGATTAACGGATGATTATGTAAAAAAAATGAATAGCTTGTCATTATTATTTCAATTTTTTATTATTTTTATTTTTTATTTATTCATTTTATTATGTGATAAAAATACCTAAAATACATAATGAAAATTATGATATCATATTGTATAATAATAAATTGTAGTGGAGCAATGACTAATTTGTGATTTGAGACGTACTGTACAAAAACTCACTCTCCTTTTAGTACATTATTGTTGAACTAATTTATAAAATTGTCATAGATAATAAAAATTTCTTAAAAAATATTTATTTTAGGATAAAGCAACTAAAATAACAACTAAATAATTAATTATTTTCATTTACAAATTTATAAATATCAGTAGATAAATTGGCATATCCTAGAACTTTAATATTATGTGAATTAAATTCCTTCACTTCATCTTNAAAAAAAAATAATAATAATTTTTCGGTTTTTGAAAAAAAATCAAATCTAAATGGGAGAAAGAATAAAAAAACAGGAAAAAAAAAAAAAAATTTTTAAAAAAGAAAAAAAAAAAATAGAATGAAGAAGAAAAAGTGCAATTTTATCCCAAAAAAAATTCTGTTCTCTCTTTATGAACAGATTCCCAACCCACTAAATCCACTAACAACATATCCGGTTCCACAAGACGATTCACTTTCATGACGATTAGAAGAAATTGGTGAAGAATTGTAAGCTGATTGTGAATAACCACCAGGTGGTGTCGTATTACCAATACTTGGAGTGGAATCATTAGAAATAGTATTTGACTCTATACCTCCATCAACATCTTGTTGAGTTGGAGAATGAAAAGGTGAAGTGGTAGGTGAAGCATGAATGGTAGGCGTGGAAATGCCTGGATAAAATTATTAAAAGTTAACATTGAATATATTGAATGATTTACTAATGTTGACCGAACATTTTAATACTCACCAAAAACATCAACTGGTGATGCAGATGGTGTGGCGGGATGAGGTTGATAATTTTCATTTTCTAAATGTGTCGTATTATTACTATAATGTTTATGTTGCCAAGCAGAAGTTGTAGTAGCCTCATGACCGCTAAATGGCCAACCATCTTCATCATTATTAAGTAGTTCTGCACAACCTGACCCTTGATCCTTTCCAAGTACAGGAAATGGATTATAATCAACATAATGATTAGGCGAATGTACAGGGGTTCCTTCACTGTCAATTAATGGGGATGTTATATTTGTAAATTGCCCTAAATCAACATTTGGAGATTCATTAGGTGTTTGACAGAGAGGAGAAACAGTTCCGTGAGGTGGACTTGGAAAAGGTGTATTAATTTGTGTTAAGAATCCGTTATTAGCAGCTGTACCTGGTGACATATGTAGAGTAGTACCATAGGACAAGTTCTGGAATTGATCATTATTAAAACGAGATGAGGTTATTTTCGTACAATTATCAGCAGAAGGTAATAATGAGGTAGGTGATGATACAAATTCGGAAATTGGTAAAGATGATTTAATAATTGGGGGAGACAATATCGAGGGAAGATTATTGGAACTAGTGATGATAAAATCATGGTTGTGGATAGGACTGTTGTTGATTATGTTACCGACCTTACTTCCAGCACCCAAATTAGATAATGTAAACATTGAATCATGCGTTTGTTGATGATGATGTTGATGATGTTGCTGTTGTTGTTGTTGTCCATTTTCAGGACTAGACCAATAATCCATCATTGATAAACGATGTGAACTACAAGTATTTGCATGATCTTGTAATACATGTAATGCAGTAAATTGTGAATAACGTTGAAATAAAACAACGATCTTATCATAATGTTGTTCAGCAACTTGACTCGTTTCCTCGTTGCCTCTAAATTTATTTAAAGCATGGATCATTCCAGCTTGAAGTAAACACCAAGTTGTACAATTAAGGAATCCTCTAAAAGGAGTAGAAGCTGTACGAAGAATCTTTTCTCCAATAGGGGTAACTTGAGCCGCAGCTTGGGTACACTTTAGTAAAGATTCAAAATTAGCTATATACCTCCTATGTAATAGGATAATAAATGAATGATATAGCATATGTAAATGAGTTGATTGGGTGGAAAATTTATTAGAATTTCCAATAAGTGTATCCGTTGATTGAAGGGGCAAGTGAAAAGCCCATGTATGAATTTGTTCCTCAAAATTTGCAACAATATTGTCTTGATTATAAGGAGAAGCGGATAATTTTGAAGAGAAATTATGTTTTAATAATAAATGTAACATCCTAGTAAATCTAACTTGATGAACAAACTCATTAATAGCACCATTTGATTTTAATTCAGGTTCATCAATATCAATATCAGGTTCAGGGATTGTACATTCATCTTCCTCGATATTACTAGCCTTCCCAATACCACAACAAACTAATACATCCACCATAAAAAGAGACCACCATAATCTTTTTCTTAAATTTTTATGAGAATTATCAAGAAGTGGATCCTCACAATCTTTATTTAATTCTAATTCAAGAGCCATCCTATTTGCCATCCCAATATACATCCACCTACGAAAATATCCTGGGGAAATACCAGAACGTCTTGTATTATGTTGTTGATAAATTGACATAAGAATAAGGGCAGCTATTGTAGACATTCTAGGAGCATCCATAAAATCATCAAGTAAAGCACGAGCTCTATCAAAATAAATCCATCCACCTGTTTCATGAGTTTCAGGATCGGAACGTACAGAAGGACGTTCAGAAAATTCAGCCGAAACAGCAAACATAGCATTAAGTAATAAAGGAGATGGTGGATCATTAGCATTCTCCCTTTGTTGAAGGAAAAGATTTTTATTGAGAACTGGAACATAAGGATGAACATTGACCCAATAAAGTGCTAATAAATGTTCAATAACATCATTATTTGGCATAACTGGATTGTCGATTAAAGGCAGTTTTGGTTCCGGTTTAGCAACTGATATGGAATTACTTTGCCAATTTGCGGCTGTAAAATATTTTATTTTATTTTTTTTTAAAAAAAAATGATTTATATTAAAATGGAGCCGATCAACGTAATACGAGATGAATATGGTAATCGAAAAAAAAAAAAAAAAAATTCATACATTGTGGAGTGGTAGTCATAGTTGGATTTGGATTAAAAATTCCTTGAGTGGAAGGAGCAGAACGACGAGAAGGAGGTAAATTTGGAGGTAATTGCTCAACTTCTTCAATCGGACGTTTTCCACGACCTGAATTGGAGGATTGTCTAGTGGAAGTACCAGTTTGTTGAGAAGACACGTTAAGAGAATTTGAATTTGTTGATTGAGAAGAAGATTGATTATTTCCAGAACCGCTACTGCTTCCACCATTATTATTATCATTATTTTCATTGTCATTTCCGTTCCTGCTCGGCTTCCTCGGTTGCCTTTCGATTTTAACGTATGTACAAGCTGTAGCGTATTTCTTACAATTTGCACAAGGGTTTCTTCCATCACATCTTATCTTACGTTGACGGCAAAAAGAACATGCCATTTGAACCCGTTGACGTTTGATGAAAAAGGGATCATCAATCCATACAACGGAAGAATAGCTCATTTTCTTTAAATTTTTATCGTTTCCTATCAGATAAATAAATAAAAAAAGAAAGAAAGAAAGAAAGAAAGAAAGAAAACAAATAAATAAATATAATTGAAAAAAAATAAAAAATAAAAATTTAATTTAAACGATAATGGTTTAAATTTATTAATGAAAAAAAAT